CAGTGGCACACACAGTCCCTGCAGTGGCACACACGGTCACTACAGTGGCACACACATCCTGCTCCTCGTGCTCCGCTCTGTTTGGAAAGGAACAGGAACATCCCACCGGCAGAGCCGGGAGCTGCGCTGTGGTTTGAGTTTCACTACAAGCTTTTTATAGCTCGCAGGGACACAAAGCTCTGTAATGTGAGAAGGTCGGGGAGAGGCTGCCAGGGCCACAGCAAACGCTGCCTCTGAGAGCAGCCGAGCACCGAAACACAGCCCTGCCACCACCAACTACGGTGACACTGGTGACACGGTGCCCAGCAGCCCCGGGGGGACACAGAGCCACCGCCCCACGGAAGGACGCTTGTTCCCATTTATGCCTCATCTCTGTTGCAAGGAGGGAACACCCTCGTTCATGTACCCGATCACGAGGAACCCCCATGCTCCGTTCTGGTGTCCAGCAGTGTCACATCAGGCACTGGAGTGGCTGCTCCCAAGTGCCCGGGCAGGACTCGGGGGCTGCTCCTTCATTTTCACACCACAAAGCTCTTGGAAGGAGCTGCTGGCTCCGTGGCTCTTTACCTTGGATTGCAGAGAGCATATTTGTGCTTGAGTCAATATGAAACTGATTGTTTGGGCAAGGAAAGAATCCAGACCCCAGATTCTGTTCCCCTCAATGTGAGGGAACCTTGGGGGGAAAAGGCTTGGAAAAAAAATTTTATCCAAGTTGGTTGGAATCTGCAAGGAAAATGCAGAGGCACAAGAGCAAAACCCAAAGTGAAAAACAAACTGGATGAATTCCCTGAGCTGTCTGGGAGAAGCTGGGAATGGGATCGGTGAGGGGCTGCAGTGGGGGGTCCAGTGATGTGTGTGCAGCCCGCCGGCCTTCCTTCCCTTTCCAAAGTGCTCATTCCCAAATCCTGCCCTAACTGCACCAAGTGCTCCAGGAAACCTCAAAGGGAAACAGGAAAGGCAGCGAGGGCTGAGTGGAGCCGCGATCCGACAGCACCTCCCGCCCACCCACTCACCCTCCGGGATGTTTCCGGAGCCCCACGGAATCCTGAACAACCCAGCGGGGCTTCCCTGGCTCTGAAACCGCTGTGCCAGAACAGAGCCTCATTCATCACACGCCGCTGATGAGTTTTCCACGGGCAAACCCAGGGATGCTCTCAGGAACAGCTCTTCAAATGCAGCCTGGGTGTAGATCCACTGGTCAAAATTGAGTCCTGTGTCTCAGATCAGATTTAATTTAAAAACAAAACAAAAACAAAACAAAAAAACAGAAACAAAACCAAAAACAAACAAACCAAAACAAAACCACAAAAACGCTGAAAGACAACATCCAAGTGGGACATTCAGCCTCTGCCCCCAGCTCCTCCCAAAGACAAGGCATTCTTCCCTGTCTCAGAGCAAAGGCACCTGCTCTCCCTCTCTCCAGAGCCACCCAAGACTTGGAGACAGCTAAGCAAAAGGAAGAGAAGCCACCCCAGCAGTGACAGAACAACCCCAAACCCTCCTTCAAAAGGGGTTTAGGCACCAAGGGACATTTTCTTCAGGTTTAGACACCCTTTTTTCTTTCAGGTCAATCCAAAGTGGGAGTGCAAAGTGTTTGGTGCAGAAATCTCTTCAGCAAAGCAGCACTCAGCCAAGGCAAGGAGACACTCAGTGAGTCCATGCCATTCGTCCCTTTTCCTCCTGTGCTCAGAACCGACTCCCATTTGCCATTTGGCAGGGCACAGCAGGAACACCAACCCCCCACGTTTCAGAGGGAGATTGCATTTCAGAGAAAAACCCCTGACACTTGGCCCTGGGACCCTACAGGGGATGAACAGCGAGGGCTGGGTGCTCCCAGAGCCCTGTCCAGGCCAGAGACAGGAATGGATCCACACCCAGCCTGTGTCCCACGGACAGGGATGGATGGATGGATGGATGGATGGATGGATGGATGGATGGATGGATGGATGGATGGATGGATCCACACCCAGCCCATGTCCCATGGACAGGGATGGATGGATGGATGGATGGATGGATGGATGGATGGACGGATGGATGGATCCACACCCAGCCCCTGTCCCACTGATGCCTTGAGGAGCTGGAACAGAGGCTACGCACAGAGTTAAGGAGAATAAAATGGGTATTTATTGTGAGGCCTATGAAAGGCCTACAAAAGCCACACCCCAGCAATATAAGTGCCACAGTCGTGGCCCCTGCCTGGATGGCTCCAAGATAGAAGGAAAGGAGGGGGTTGGTCACAAAATCTTACACTTTTATAGGTTTTGGTTAATTTACATGAACCCACCCTCCACCTTTCCACATAGTTTGTGTTTAGGACCTAAAGTTTGGAGAACCTGTCCTTAACTAGAATAGGACTGTTTTGTCTTCATCACCCTAGCACATCAGAAAAGCACATCCAAGGAGAATAGAAAAACTTAAAACTAAAGGCATCACCATGGACAGAGATGGATGGATCCACACCCAGCCCGTGTCCCATGGACAGGGATGGATGGATCCACACCCAGCTGGGCACGAGTTGTTTGTCTTGCTGCTGTTGAGGCACCCACAGCCTCAATGACCTCATCAGGACAGCCCTGGTTTGCTCCAGGAAAGGAGTAGGTGACACAATCTTGTGCAAGGTGACCTCAGCCAAATTATGAGAGAAGCTGCACTTGGTGACCCCAGCTTGTCACCAGCCACCAGTTCCAGAGGGACAACCCCACCTGGAGTATGGTGTGGAGCTGGCAGAGGGTCCCATAGCCCCCAGGAGATCCATTCCCCAAAAGCTGTGTCAGCACTGGGAAGGATGGGGAGGAGATGGGAGAGGAGTTGGCTCGCCTGGAATTCAATGTGGCCATTAGAACTCTGCTGCTCCAGGAAGGGTGAGGAAGAGTTTTCCAGGGCAAAAGTGCTTATTCATCACCAGAACTCTTCTGGAAATTGTCCAAAACTTGGCTGTTTGAAGAAGTGAAAGCTCTCCTCAGCACATCCCTCCTGTGACATAACTCTGGGAAAGGTTTCTCCTCCCTGCAGGAGGTGGGAGCAGGGCAGAGGCTCACCCTGGGAATGTCCCTCCCAGGCAGGGCTCAGTCTTGGCTCTGGTTCTTCATCAGAAAACTTGCACCAGTCTCAGCCTGTCCAGCTGCAGGAAAAAAAGCTGAGTTATTGGGAAAAATCTCTTCCTACAGTCCCTGTCCTGGGGTGCAGAGCCCAGGGAGCACAGCACAGCACGTGGGACAGCTCAGAACCGTAACCAAGCTGCTCCCAGGCTGTCCAGCACCTGCAGCACTCCAGGAACATGGACAAGGCTCGGGGAGGGGGGGGGGGGGGGGGTGGGCGGAGATGGGCTGGAGAGGTCTGCATAGAAACAAGCAGTGAGATGCCTTTTATCCCAGAGGGAGTCTGTGTGGAGTACATCAGCTGGAATGTTTTCCAGCACACTGAGAGGCTGGAACAAAGCCAGAACAGCCAGGAAAGTAATTTCCACTTTCTGTTTCACAATAATTGATATGCCTCATTTGCAGTCCTGGAAGCAAAGGCCTGGCCAAAATTTGCAGAGAAGTTCACTTCTGTGTGAAGCCTCATTCTGCCTCCTTCAAAATCTCGGTCTTGGTCTGGAGGAACAGCAGGAACCTCCACTCAGTCCTGGGCCAGCTCCTGCAGGGAGCAGAGCAGGGGCTGTATCTGACTGTATCTGTGCTGGGTCCTCAGAGCTTGGAAAATGGAGCATTTTAAGGTTAAACTCAGCAAAAGGCAAGTCAGAACTGGAACTTTTTGGCCAAGCTGAGTATGAGCACACCAGGAATGTCACCAGAGGAGTCCTGTCCATGCATAGGGAAGAGTGTCCCATTGAACTTTGGCTTTAACTCAACTGATCTACAGATATTGAAAAAACACCTTGTTGGGTGTTCTGCCCTTGTCCCACTTCCAATCCTTGAGAAATAAGGAGGAATGGAAAAGCACACCCAGCCTGGGACTGAGGCCTTGGGGTGCCTCAAGGCTTCCCCAGCCTGAGCAGTTTTCTGGGAGGCACCAGTCCTGTGTGTGTGTGTGTGTGTGCTCACAGCCCAGCACAGGGACAGCCCCAGTGTCACCAGGCCTGTGTGTGTGCTCACAGCCCAGCACAGATTGGCACCAGGGACAGCCCCAGTGCCACCAGTCCACAGAGCCGGGGCTGTCCCAGCCTGGCTGTGCCCCCACTGGGCCAAGGAACTGACTGTGGCAGGGCAGGAACAGCCAGGTTCCTAAACCAACTGGTTCTACCTCAAAACACCTTTCTCAGGTGGAAAGCATTTTTAAGTGTCAGGTAAGGGCTGCCCTATTGCATCACTGCAGGGACAGTGGGGTTCGCACAGCTGAAAGCACCAAACTCTCTGAAATCTCCCTGGACCCAGTGACCAGAAGGTCTCAGGGATCTCCTCAGACCAGCTTGTCCAAGCAGCATGTGTTTCTCCAAGCCAAAACCTACACAAAACCATCCTACAGTGGATTCTTCAAGCTTTTCTTTCGCTGCCTTTCCCTTCCCGAGGCTGTGCAGAGGGCAGAGCACCGTAACAGCTCTCACCTAGCTCCAAGGTCACAAGGAGGTCACACTAGGCTCCTCCAGCTCCTGCCCCACCCAGTTTTACAGCCTCACCCCGTCATTTCCCCACCCTCAGGCTCTGGGATCCTCCAGGGAGGAGAGCTCCAGGTGCAAGTGCTGACTCGTGTCTGCGGAGCCACAGAGGCGGGCGTGCACCGCAGCGCCTTTCCCTGCACACCCGGCCACAGAGCATGGGCAGAGCATCCCTGTTTATCCACCAGCGAGTGAATCAGCAGCTCTAGAGCCGGCTGGCTGGGATCAGCTCCCATTGCAAAGGATCTGTGTGCTTGGTGCTGGACTTTGCCACTAATCCAGCCCAAGGAGCCTGGCCAGCAGCCCAGAGCAGCCCTGGCAGCCACAGAGAGGTTCTGTTCCCCCAGCAGGTTTTCATCTCCCCCCGAGAGCTCCTCACAGCCTCGGCTCTCAGTACAGCCACTTCCAGCTCCCAGCGATCAATGCTGATTTAATTGCTGGAGCATCTTCCAGGAAATGTGCTGCTGCATCCATGTGTGGGTAGAGAGAAAGCAGAGGAGTGACCTGGTGAGCACCAGAGCAGGGCTGGCCTTGGCTGCCATCCTGCTGTGAAACCCCCAAATCCAGGCACAAACTCTTGGAAGATAGAGTAGCCAGGAGATCGAGGAGGGGATTCTGCCCCTGTGCTCAGGTGAGACCCCATCTGCAGAGCTGGGGCCCAGCACAGGGAGGACCTGGAGCTGCTGGAGAGATGCAGAGGAGGCTCCAGGATGAGCAGAGGATTCAGCCTCCTCTGCTGGGAGGAAAGGCTGGGACAGCTGGGATTGTTCACCTGGAGAGGAGAAAATCTGGGGTGACCTCAGTGTGGCCTTGCAGGAAAGATGGAGACAGACTCTTTACAAGGGACAGATGGACGGGACACAGGGAATGGCTTCCACTGCCAGAGGGCAGGGCTGGATGGGATATTGGGCAGGAATTGTTCCCTGGGAGGGTGGGCAGGGCTGGCACAGGGTGCCCAGAGCAGCTGTGGCTGCCCCTGGATCCCTGGCAGTGCCCAAGGCCAGGCTGGACACTGGGGCTTGGAGCAGCCTGGGACATTGGAAGGTGTCCCTGCCCATGGCAGGGGCTGGATTTGATGTTCCCGATGGTCCCTTCCAACCCAGCCCTTTCTGTGATTCTCTGACTCTTCAATCTGCATTTTCTAGAGGAAGAGCTACTGATTTTCAGTGCTATTGTTCCTAAACTCGACCTTTGTGGATATTGCCAGTGCAGGGGAGTAATCCAAATGCCAGTGCTGAGGCAGCAGAGGCAGCTGGAGCCGGGCAGGGATGTGGAGCAGGGAGGGCTCAGAGCCTGCAGCCAGCGTGGGGAGCCTGAGGAGCTGGCACAAAGCTGGGCTCTGTGGAGCCCAGCCGGAGCAGTAGGGGCATTGTCACACTCCAGCAGCCTGGAGAACAGGCCAGAGGTCAGCCCAAGGCTTGAGGAAAAGCACTTTGAGGCG